ACCCCTGTATTTGGTTTTGCTCCTCCTGACCTGCCTTTCGGGTCGCATTTGCCTTCGAAAACTCTCTTCTGATAATCTCTCGCTGATCATCTAAATCAACAACATTTGCCTTAATGGTGAATGATCCAGCACGGTTGAGCCTTTCCGAACCACTGGCCAACAAACAGCTATTAAATGCTTTATGCCCAATATGATTCTTTAAACTGGCGAAGGGATCAATTTGGAGAGGTGCGGGGGCTGACCTGAATGGGAGCCGAAATTTCTTTCAGCTAACCTTTGAATAGAGAGAGCCATGTTACTGAGTGATTAAGGTTGATTAAATGTCTCAAGCTTTTTCTGGGGGCGGGGGTGGGGGAGTAGAGGGCTCTGGCTTCCGGTCAAACTTTGGTACTAAAATTGACGGAAAGTAATAGCGATATAGCGCCATAACGGGTTGAACGGTTTCTTACATACAAGCAGCAAGCACAAGAAGTTACCGCTCAACTAAATTTCTTTAAACAAACCTCATTATTCACAGGCCCCGTACTGCGAGCATCTGGAAATGAGTGCAAACCGAGGACTAGGGCTTCCTTGGTGGGCAGCCTCTCGCGTCGTCCTTTCTTCACTTTCCGCTTCGGCTCTGCAATTCACTCACAGCGTAATTTTACCTTATCTGTTTGCTTGCCCTAATGAAAACTAATATCTAGGATCAGGCCTGTTTGTTGCGCACTATTACATCGGCACAGACACGCTTTTTTGCATTTAGCTAGTTTGCTGCAAAAGACCATAATTTTTAAATTCATCCAAGAACTTATGAATAAGGATTGAGGCATATGGGTTTCTCCGCTTCTGGAAAGCGGATGTTGCCTTTGTTTAGTCAGTAGTTCCAATAATTAAGCCAAAGTAAAGTATAAAAACCGCTAGGTATCCAGCTCACGGTAGGTGAAATTTTAAAGCTGTGGAATGATAGATCTCACTTTCGAGTTAATTTGCCGAAACGAAAGCATCTTGTGCACAATAACTACACACTTTTTAATTTAAAATTAACTTTATTTTACTTCACTTTTTAATTTTCCTTTAGTCTTCGCTAGGAATTTTCTTAAATACAGTATCATCTTATATGCTACCATCCAATGCCACTCCTCTCCACAACGTAGGGTCTAATCTTAGGACGTAAAGAAGTTCACAGAGTGGCTCTTAATATATGGCTTGTCCCGGATATATTCCCGAATTTCCGGTCTCCTAGTTTTCGCAATTTTGGGTTGGAGTTAACTGAGTTTTTATACGTTTTTTGCAGCTATGCAATGCAAAAACGCATATTGTCGAGGGGTTGTATGTGTGTGTGTGTGTGTGTGTCTGTGTCTGTGTCTGTGTCTATGTATGTATGTGTGTCTGTGTGTGCGTCTGTAACGAGTTTTCATCTCGAGATCCACAAAAGCTA